AGTATAATGGAAATTACTCAGGATTTGGAGTCAGAATGCCCGGATTTTTGTGTCCTGCTCCCATACTTCAGTGTAACACTGAACAAATACCTGATGTCTCTGAACCTCAGTCACTCCACATATAGACTGGGAATGGTGAACTTCCCTGTATCGGAGTTCATTGTGAGGATTAAACGTGATAACTCCTGCAAAACTGCTCCACAGGCACCTAAGCATCTGTACAGATGTCATTCTTAGGATACTATGTGAATGTAAACTAGAATCAGTACTAGTATTCACCTGGGCCAGGTCTGTTTAGTGTGGGGACAGCAGGTGCCTCCTTAACTGATATACGACTCCCATTCTCATCCCCATGGACAAATCCTTCTGAGGATGCTCTGCCACCTCCCTAAAAGGGTCTTTGGTCAAGCTCTGTCTCCCTGCTGCAGGAGGGAGGCTAAAGAATAAAATAAGGAGGAGGGAATTCTTAATAAGATGATGGAAAGTTGGTGACATTTAGGATTTATTTCCTTTCTTTTTAAGTTTCAGGTTCAGGTTCAAGTGTCTTTTGTGTTGGCAACATTTCCTAACCACCTTACTGGACATTGCACTGCTCTCCCAAATTAGGTATGTCCCAAAGGAGCAATCTAAACACATTAGTTCAACAGCAAAAGGTGAAAGAAGGGCCCTCGGAGCCCTAAAGGAGAAGAGGAATGTTTTCAGCATTAACACACCAGCTAACGTGTGTGACATGAGAAGTGTGGCCACCAGAGGCAGTCATAGTGGAAGAGCCACTGGGATGGTATTTTTCTCTCCATCCTTCTCCCCTAGGTGAATAGGTGAGTAAAATAAAGCAGATGTTTTCATAACGGACTTCATCAGATTCTAATGAAATGAATTTGAATCTTCTCATATTGCTCTTCTGAGCTTGTCAAAACTAATGATGTAGAAGATGATATTCTCCTCCTCATCAGAAATTCATACTACCATCAACAATGCCTGCAATAGCTGTTTTCTTTTGGGAGGAATGATTAATGACTTGCTTAAGATCACACTGACAAGTAAAATTCAAACTAAAACCCAACTCTCCCCATTTCTAGTCCATTGTCCTTTACAAAGCCTTAGAATTCACTCAAACAGACAGAAGAGTAAAATTTACTTTTCCTCAAGAAATAACTTACTTTGAGAAAATCAAGTGAGGGAGAAGAGACAAGTGTCTCATACAGAAGAATTCCAAACAATTTATGTAGATGCTCTACCCTTGAGTATATAACTGAGCATATAACTGCCTGCTCCTTAGGTAATGTGCTTTGCATAGTGACTGCCTTCCAGAGAGTCCAGTATGGAAATTAGAGGGATGAAGTAATTCTACAATGGAGAAACTTGACAAACACTGCCTCAGCCAACTGATCAGGTCAACATCAAGCCATAAATCACGTTGATAGCATGTGCCATTGATAGGACACAATGAGAATGCCATTTTAACTGTGACCTTCCTCCCCCAAACCCATACCTCCAGTCTAATCATGAGAAAAACACCAGACAAATGCCAATAGAGGAGAATCCTCCACAATCCCTGACCAGGATCTCCAAAACTGTCAAGTTCATTAAAAACAAGGAAAGTCTGAGAAACTGTTAGAGCTAGG